GTGCTGTGGGTCAGTTTGCTCTGGCACTGACAAGGCAAAGCAGAGATTTGGGGATGTTTCTGGCAGAGCTGGCAGGTGTCTTCACCCCAGCTTGCTCTGTGACCTGCCTTTGGAGCTGAGCAAAGGGGGCCATCAGAAGCTGGTGCTTTGTTCCTTCTGTCCCGTTTTATTTGCTCTTATTTTGGGAGAGTTTTGTGCAGGTTGGATGGTTGCACACTGGAACAGGGAGGTGTGGAGCCTCCATGCCTGGAGATGCTCAAACACAGTCCTGAGCAACCTGCTCTAGCTGGCCCTGCTTTGGGCAAGAGGTGCCCTCCAGCCTCAGCTGCTCCACAATTCTGTGGAAAGCATGGAAAGATCTCAAAAGAAAAGTCCTGAGAGGCAAAAGGGGAACTAAATGGCTGCTCTTCAGGATGTCATTCCATGTGTTCTCTCCATTACTGCAAAAAGAGAAAAAGAGCAGACTCACCCTTCTGTCTCTGTGTCCCACACCCTCGTGCCATTCCCAGTATTCCTGGGCTACAGAGTGAACAAAATCTAGGAAATTACTCACATTAAAAGTAATTTTTTCCCCCCCTGGGTTTCCCCAGTTCAATTAATTGTGCACACAAATATAAACTGCTGTTTTCCAGCACAGAAGGGAAGCCAGGCCAGGTGTCCTGAGCTGGTTTCAGGTGTGTGGAAAATCTTGGCTTAAGGTTTTAAGGCATTTTTAGAGTCCTCCAGCACAGGCCATAATATTGCATGTGATGAGTTGTCACTTCCAGCCCCTGTGAGCCCCACACTGGTTGGTTGTGACAGCAGGAGGAACCTGGAGCTGAGGATTTCACAGGGAAGGTGACTGGAGCTGCCGAAGTAGCTCTAATGCAAATTGCACTGGATAACTCTGAGAAGAATCAGATGCTTGAAAATACAGAGAATTTGGCAAGAAAATTGCTGCAAATCCAGGATAATAAATATTGCAGGATTGGGGTTTTACACCTTCACAAGTATTTCTTGCTTTCTGTGACTTGGGAAGGAAGGAATTCTTGCATTTTACCCTGTGTTTCACCAGCGGTCAAATTACTGTTTTACTTGTGAAAAACAAAATTCCCTGAAACACGAGGATCAGCTGAACCCACACTTTGTAAACAGCAGGTGTAGCTTTGCTTTTTATGCAAACAAGGCCCTGGTTGACCATAAGGAATTGTTCCCAAGGAGGAGGGAGGTGACGTGACCCAGAGCTGGGTGTCTGAACTCTGCCCCATCCTGAGGGGACACTGCTCAGGGCAATGCTCAGGCTGAGGGAGCAGCAGTTCCAGAGGGAGTTAATTAGTAATTAAGAAAGAGAAAACCGTAAACTGGACTGTGCTCACTGAACCTGCCATTTGGCACCCAGAAATTCCTCCCCTGTGAGGGTGGGCAGGCCCTGGCACAGGTTGGGCAGAGCAGCTGTGGCTGCCCCATCCCTGGAAGTGCCCAAGGCCAGGTTGGACGGGGCTTGGAGCACCCTGGGCTGGTGGAAGATGTCCCTGCCCACGGGTGGAATTGGCTGATCATTGCCTGGCAGTCAGAGGGTGGCAGTGGAAAGTTCAGTTCAGCAGCTTCAACAGCTCGTTACATTTTTAGAGGCTGGAGATGCCTCAAGTGTGGGTTCAGTTCAGGTCACTCTTTGTACCCTTTAATAGCTGCACACACATAAAAAGATCATCACCCCCTTAAAATAAATGGTCTGGATTGCAACTGGCATTAATTCCTTTTGTGTAACTGAATACAGTTACTGATTCACCACGTGCTGGTTCCAAACCTGGAATTCCCCGTGGCAAATGTGTGGCAGGACATGAAGCGTTAGAAGGAGCAGTTTTGGTTTGGTTCTGCTC